AAGTAAACAAGACCCAAGTCAAGGTAAGTTTTGTTAAAGTGTCGATGGCGTTCCCTATATTACGAAAACAATTCAGGCAACAGACGAATATCTTATGTGGTGTTGTGGAATTTATACTGTGTCTGTGGAATTGTTGATTGAGGGTTTAAAGCCAGCAGTTAACATTTTGTTAGAAAGTTTCACAATTAAATCAAATATCCAATGATACCAGTATATTTATTTCATTATTTTAACAACTTGCAATGGTGGAAGTTGGTCAAACACGAGTTCTTACACCTAAATAAGTATCAAATATTTGTCGACACATTTATTCTCTCAATTTAACAACCTTGTAGAGGTGGAAATTAATGAAACAACAGGTATTTACTCAAAAATATAATGGTCAATATTTGTCCATACATTCATTCAATATTTGTCCACACATTTATTGTCACAATTTAACCACTTGTTAATAGTGGAAATTACTTAAACGCAACTTGTTTAATCAGTTGACATCAATGCAACTAACCCGCAGATAGTGCACAGCAGAGTATCATTATTGAGCAATTATTAACAGGAACGTGTCTTGGCATTAGGGTTAGGGTCGAGTCAGGTATGGGCAACGGAATTATTAACAGGAACGTGTCTTGGCATTAGGGTTAGAGTCGGGTCAGGTATGGGCAACGGAATTATTAACAGGAACGTGTCTTGGCATTAGGGTTAGGGTCGGGTCAGGTATGAGGCAACGGAATTATTAACAGGAATGTGTCTTGGCATTAGGGTTAGGGTCGGGTCAGGGATGGGCAACGGAATTATTAACAGGAACGTGTCTTGGCATTAGGGTTAGGGTCGGGTCAGGTATGGGCAACGCAAATGGCAAACATCCAATTGGCAAGATGTACACTAACGGGTTATGGCATGCATATAGTTTACACAAGTAAAAATTCAAAATTGGCAATTTTTTGGACAATTGTAACTCAATAATAGAAATATGTTGTATTTCTATATATATATGTATATACACACTATATAGTATTATCAAATGCAACGCATCCAGCCAATCAATTGTGGTCTTGTGGTTCAGTTGTCTACACAGTGATCAGGAGAACCCGGGTTCAATTCCCATGCCTGCTAGTCTTTTTCTCGCAAACACTAATTTGCAATAAAGCTAAATATGAAAACAAATCATTCATTTGCATGACTACCCATATGGTTCAGTGGATATGTACAATGTAGGCAATGTGAGAGATCGCTGGTTCGAATCCAGTACGGTTAGTACGATTTTTGAATGCTAGTGAAAACATTGATCCTATAAGTAGGACTTAAATCCTATCATTTGTGTGAAGACACTCGTGGTACAGTGGACAAGACAGTGCGTTGGGAACTCAAAGATTGCAAGTTCGAATCACGGACAGAAAAAAACATAAACAGCAACTTCTGTATATCAAGAACTCAAGTCAGAAAAACAGAACACAAGAAACTACCTCACATGGAAGCCAGTCGAAGTCGTCGAAGTACGAACACAGTTGACAGCTGCAGGTCACGTGCAACAACAGACACGAGGAGCATGGCTGCTCTCCAAATGGGTCCCTTCTTTTGTATTGACCCCCTAAGGATTGCTAATTCCACTATCTAACTCTTCCCCCAAAAATAATAAATCGCCCCTTTTAGAATGTATTGATCCACAAATTAATGAATATTCATGAGCACAGAAACTGCTACGTCATGAATAAATTAGCATAATTAAAAAAAAATTGCATAAAGTGTAGGAGTCCTGCCAAAATCACCATGGTTACATGAACTTATAAAGGTTGCATATCTTTATCTGTTATGTCATCATAACATAAATTTAATAGGAGTTTGCAAATAAAAAAAAAAGGTGTTTCATGCACTTATAAAGCTAACAACTCTGAATAATGTATCCATTCTCGGAAAACAAAGTTATCTGGTCTTATTTTATATTTAGGATAGGATAGGATATTTTATTTGGAACGTACACAAAAACAATGCTTGAGTAAAGTCCAACGTAAGAAACATACAGTATCACAACTAAACTAAAATAATTTTAAAATCTGAAAAACAAAATTAGCTAAAATACTATAAATATATTTGTCTACACTAGAGAAAACATTAATAAACAATTCTCCATTTGGTAATGTTTGATAGTCAGATGAGTATTTGAACAATGTATAGAGGAATTTTTTTCTGTGTTCTGAAAAACTGTCACAATGAAAAAAGTAATGTTTTTCATCACCCACATCCTTAGAGTCACATTTGTTACATACCCTGTCAATTTTATTTATTCCCCTGTGACGACCTATTTCAATTAGCAAGAAGTGGGCTGAAATACAAAATTTGGTTAATACTACTGTGTTTTTTGTTTTTTATATCATCCAAGTATTTTTCAAATTTATAATTATTTTTGAATGTTTTATAAGTACTTAGTTTATTATGACCAGTTTTGTTCAACTGACTTTCCACATTTGTTGAGTAAATTTGGTTTAACCTTTCTTTAAACAGATTGCAAAAATTTGCCTGATTAGTATCCATGTTTGTCACAATTATGTGAATATGGTGTTGTGTGTTATAGGAAGTAGGTGATGGTTATGTCATGTGAATCAAGAGGGGGAGGTTAAAGTACTTGATTGGAAAGAATGATTATATTTGTTCTTTGGCAGTGAATGGCTTATTTGTACTTGACTGTGACCCACTCACCATTCGATTGTAATTAGGCCAGCTGCTATTATACATCACTCAGCATGACTAGTTGGAAGACAATCATGTAAAAATAGTGTGAATAGAATAAACGTCTGTAATGAACAAGGAAAAAATAAAGTTTTTATTTTTTATCTTAACCATCAATATACAACAAGTTTACCAAAAAATTCGAGTAAAAATAAAGTAAAAAGTTGAACCAATAGGAGATACAGGTGATGGTTGAATTATCTCGCCTGGAAGAAAATAAAATCAAAGAAAGCTTAGAAAGAACTCCCGTGTGCTGAGAGTATTGAAGACACAGTAAAAATTAATTCAAAATTACTTGTACTTGAGATATTGATGGAATAGCTGAAAACTAATTATGTAAATCAGGTAACTGATATGAACAGATTTAAGTGTAAAACTAATAAGGTCTGCACAATGTACCAAGTTTCATTGAAATGTGATTAGAACCCAAAAAATATTAATTATTATGCTAAATAGAGAGTTAATATGAACAGATTTTAACCCAAAATTAATCAGGCTGTCTATTGTCCAAGAGCATTTATGTACCAAGTTTTATTCAAATGTGATGATCAATACTTGAGATATCAGTATTAATTAATTATGTTAATTAAGTGATTAAAAGCATACATATTTACCAAAAACTATATGGTGTATAGTCCTAGTTCATTGAAATGTGATGGGTACTCTTTAAAAGTTTCATTGAAATCCATGAGTG